CATCTGTGTATGTTCTTCTCTCGCCACCGCCGCGTCATAGTATGTTCTTATCTGTAGCACCAGTCGTACACCTCACTGGAGGTTCTTATTCTTAACAGCAGGTCCGATCTGAGCACGTGTTCTTACTTACGGGCAAATTCTTAAAAAATGGATTTTTTGAGGCTCAAATTTTTAACGTCCATATTCTTAAGTGCGGGCCGGTTCTGTAGCGAAAGTTGTTACGAGCACACGTTCGAGAGTCAATCGCATGCAAGCCACGGTGCCCAATGTTGTGCACTGGTCGAGCTGTTTGGCATGGTTGGAGCGTCCGTTAACTTGCTTCAATTTTTTTTCTCTGGCCGGAGTTTCTGTTGACGCGTGTTGGACACGGGCGCAACGAAAGGAGCTCAACCGACGGAGGAGGCATGCATACAGTTGGCGCCCGCAGCTAAGGAGCGCTTATTTCAGGTCCAGCCTCGAATTCTTATTGTGGGCTATAAACTCAGCGTATGTCGTTCAGTTTCATATTCCAAGTTTCTTAATTTTTCGTGCAGCCAAATCCTGCTGAACTCCTTAAATCGGCAATTTCTTATTTCTCTGTTCGCATGCTACATACACAACGTTCTAAGTATACAAATGATTTGCAGTGCTTTCCTCGACCCCCGTACTCAACCCCGATTCTCACCACCGACGGCTGCACGTAAGGCCATTCCCTAGAAGCGAAATGTATCCAGCGGCAACGTCTCGCTATCGCTACAAGGTCCTGTACACCCCTCATGAGTGAGGGCTGAAACTGAACAAATGCATAAACACCGCATGATGCCTCACCCGCAAGCTGACGTGCCAACAACGAAAACTACCCCGTGATTATGTTGCAAGCTCTGAGGCGAACATCGGGGGTTGTCACCCTTTTGCGCCTCCCGCTCCCTTCCTTTGGGTCTACCTCTATGAGAACCTACGCCCCAATTGCGGCGTCTTCATCCGTGCTGTACGACTCCAACGGCATTTTCATGCTACGCGTGCTTTCGTCAGTGCAGGATGACGCGGTAGTCGTACTCCTGCCGCGAAGCGGGGTGAGATCTGCGACTAAGTACCCCTCCGAACCAACCCAACCCGAGTTTTACGAGAACCCCACGCTTCACTATCGACTGATCGAGGGCCGGTGGCGGAGACGCCTGGAGTCGAAACCCGTCCGGGATGTCCATCTTCAGCGTTTCTTCCTCAGGCGACAATTCGTCATCGTCGTCGAGCTGGGTCAGCGGGTCCTTATCGCTGTCATGCTGTGCCATCGTCTGTTGTTGTGGCGATTTCCGAAGCGGGGACAATATTCCAACACTCATTAATGTGTCAACAAGAGGAGCTTTCTTCCCCAAGGGTAATTCTTCTGTGCTCCGAATGAACGCGAAATACCAGTCCGAAATACAATATCACTTACCGTCGCTCTCATCATCGCGCTGTTGAAGACGATGATGCCTTTCGCTTCTGCCCTACGAACTGCTGTGTGCTTGAACCAGCAGCCGATTCAGGAGGGGTTGGCACCGTGGTCTGTTTCTTGAGGTGGGACGCCACATGTTCGTTGAGATGCTGCACATGCTCCTCCAAAGTAAGGACATCGGAGGACCTCAAACTCCGCAGCTCTTCAATGCCTTTTCAGAAATCGTGAGACAGAGGCTCGTTGTTTAGAAGGTGCTTCTTGATGTCCCCGAGCCGGCTCGTCGACAGTTCTTGTTGATCTCTGAGGGTGATCAGCTTGGTCAAACCCTCACGAGAGCTGGCGGAGAGAATCATCAAAGCCGTGTACAGCAGACAGCATGTCGTGGTTCGCAGCCTGTCTGGTGTGCTGTGCCAAAGCTTAAGCGCCAGCAGAGAGCGTGGCAGAGCCCGCAGGGGGGCGGAGGGGGCGCCACAAAAAATTAAACACTCCCCCCTCGTCGTACAACTAATAATACTCCATATAATGCACCATGGGAGGGGGGGGTCGGGGGAGAGGGGGAAAGAGCGAGAGAGCTGTGGGGTTTGATTCTTATTCGACACACTCCCCCGTAAACCCTCGTTTCTTATGTAGTAGGGCAGCGGTCGCCGCTGTGTTTCCTATTGAGACATTTCTTATTGTGTGACCCAGATTGAGCTAATGTTCCTTATAACCCTATTTTCTTATTGTTCGTGAAAAAGTGAGGCTCAAATTCGTAACAAAATATTTATTTCTCAACTGCGGGCGCCAACTGCTGTAGGCCACATTGCCGACGGGAGACGGCCTTCCTGAACCATGCAAAATGTACAGTATGCAGCACCTGCTCATGTCAATCTATGTATACAGACGAAAAAACTGTCGGGATCATCGCTATAGAGCCACAGCGGTAACAACGCACAAAGTGCCCGTGAAGCAAAAATATTTTTGGTGAATGATGGGGGAGATGTGCATTATTATTTATTTATTTATTTGTTGTATTATCGCCCTGGCTGGGTGTGTACCTATTTGTGAAGCTACGGTTCCTTGGCATTCCACGATTATTTCCTGTTTCCGAACATGTTTTAATTCTCATCAGCAGGAATGCCATTTGCATGAAAAAGCCATGCGGGAAAATTCAGTGTTCCGATGCAAAATGACCCTTCCACTTGTATTAGGTACGATAAGAAATGCACCCTCCTTGGTGAGGACACCAACCTTCATTCAGGAGTATAGATAGGTTGATTTCACACTGCTCTGCTGTGAGGTTTTCAACGCCAATTTGTCTCCAGACACCATCGATTACACTCGCATGATTCCCTGCTATCAGAAACAAAAATCTCTTTTGAAATCGAAGCATTTCTCGAAGAGATACGCGGCAAAAGGTAGATGTCTCCTCTCTGCTCTTCTTCCCTCTCTCTTGCTCTCTCTCGGCTCTCGGGAGCGGGCTGCGCGCGCAAAAGGTTTTCGTATTACGTTGCGCGGCCTTCGGCCGCGGAGATAAATTAAAAAGCTGGCCCGGTACACCAATTTTTTTTCCGCTCTGCTGCCCGCGCGATAGTACCACCAGGCAGGCTGCGACAGGTGTGTGTTGTGTCTCGAGCTCTCTCGTCGCGTGCCGCCGGATCAAAGTCTATACATCACAACCTGAAGCAAGAAAGGTAAGCTTCCACCTTCCGTCAGCGGCTGTCAACCATTGCTATAACCGGACGCCCATGGGGCTACAAAGGGTCTGCTGTCTGTTGGCAACATCTGCACCTGTTGTGGGGCTGGCAGATCCAGGGGGGGTTTCTCCATTCCCCACTTTTGTCGACCTGACCTCGATGATAGGTCCAAGGGTAAATATATTTCCAAACCATGCGTGGAAAAATGTCGGTTCTCGCTTTCCCTCTGCTTTCTCGACATGTATCGATGACACCTTGGCTATATTTGAATTTTCATCAGGCAAAACCATGAGCGACGCTGCTGCTTCTACACCCAAGCCTGAGGGCGAGGACAAGAGCGATGCCTCCACCATCACGATTCGTGTACGAGATCAGGTGTGTGCCGATCATGTGTACTCCAGCCACCCCTTTACATCAGGTCAGACGTGTTATTTTTATCGATGGTGATGTGTACGTGGTACGTGTGCCCTCGCTGCTACATTCATGTGTAGACGAAGCACGTGTGCGATTCAAAAAATCAAAAATATTGTGTTTTGAAAAACAGGTCCAATCCTTCCATAACTCCCTAGCTTCGTGGTTACTGCTGTATTCTACCAGTGTGCACTCCCATCCCTGCTGTATGCATATGCATATATCCTGCGGGCTCATGAGAGCAAAGATTCCTCAAGGGGTATGCAAGATGGCAATAAGAGCAGGCAGCAGGACAAGTATGCCCCTCCGGAGTAGGCTCACGAGAGCAGTGTCACGTGTCACGAGGGATGATGCAAGATGAAAAAGCAGGCAGTAGGACCCACAGCTTGCTGCGAGCTGCAGTGTGACGTTTCCCGTTTTCCAAGCTCAGCACGTTACACAACTGGCGTGTGCTTGACTCCAAGAGCCTAGCGAACTTCAACGAACCAAAAAGAGAAAGAAAACGAGGCTGTACCATACAGAAGTAGTCATGACTCAACATCGCTCGCTGCAGTGGCGATACAAATTATCCCGCCACTCTGTAGCAGCCGCGGCAGAGTTGTCGGTGCATCCTTCGAGCCACACCAACCCACTCAAGTTTCGACGGTCAGCTCGGTTTCGACGACACGCTTGTTGAGGTACGCTGAGTCCGCCTCTCGCTGTTGGAATGCTGCCGTTTCGTTCATCTCGACTCACTCATGATCGCGAACCTACTTGCGCAATGCCGGTATCCCGGTAGGCCTTCTTTGCCCATATGTCCAGCCTGTCGCGAAGCGCTGAATGTCTAAAGGATGTACGTTATTTCCTCGGACCGCACCAAACGCATTCAAGCCAACTGTGAGACCTTGTTTGAGACGGATTGCAGGTGCTTGGATGTATTGCAAGGTTGTTTCTTATATGCACAGATCCTTTTTTCTCAGGTGCTTATATAATGTGTAATTTCTGATATAGGACGAAAAACCGTTTGGTATAGGATAAGAAATTACACACGTCCTGTTGAACATTTTTCATTCACATTTCCAAGCGGTCATGCGTTTGGAAATGATGACAATTTTTGATAGGACGGCGCGTTTATTGTTTCGTTGGGAACTGCACACACACGGAAAAAAACATTGATTGCGCAGCGAGTACTGGTCGTAGCGAGCTCATGGAGGGCTCCGAGCAACCCTCGGAGCCGTGTGCTGCCATCCCAGCCGTTGATATGTGGTTGCCGTGTGACCAGGTGCGCTCAAAACAAAATGTTGGCCAGCTGGCGGACTCACCGCTTGTTGAGACCCGCAAAGACCACACCCGCAAAGAGACGCCGCATTATCCAACCCGCATACCGACGAACAAAATGTCCCGATGAACAAGAAGTTCATTTTTCTCGCTCGCTAGATCACCCTTCCTCCTGAAACTTGCGAGGATGTCAGCTCCATCAACGGCTTTGTCATTGCTGTAGATTCGGTCAGTGGAGAGGGATAGCTAAAAAGCCACCGGTGCACGGTGAGCAACCTGCACAGCAGTGAGCGCGGCATGTCATTTTTCGAACAACGGTCGACTCTCGCCAACTTTCTTTGTCAGCCTCCCAGCGCGTCGCGGTCTCTGAAAACCACAGCACAAGAAGCACCATACACACAGCCACGGGCGGGCGGGTGGCTTTATGGTATCTGTTGGTTTGGTCAGTGCAGAGGGGTCGCTACAAAATCTGTAAGAAACCGCTTAATGCAAGCCTTTTCTCCAGATGAAACACAAAAAATAATTTTCGGCAACGAACTTGTCCTTAGGTGAAGCATAAGACCATATTCGAAATACTCTCTGTTTCTGTACTCACATGCGGTCTCTGTTGATTTGCCCAGTTTTAATCATGCGCACGTTTGAGCAACAGTCTCTCACCAATTTTGTGTTTGCGGTGCCACCAACTTACTGGAGGCGATATTCAAACTTACAGATCTCACCTTAGCCCAGGCCTTACTTTTGCAATGCGTTCTCCTTCATCTACAAGAGCGTTGTGTGCCGTGTGGCACCAATTGACGAAATGTATGTACGAGAGGTACAGATTTCTTGTCGTTCTTATCTGATTGGACTATATTCGTTGTTGGCCAACTCCCTTCACTCCTTCCTGTTTTCTCACAACAGACTGGAGAGGAAACATACTTCAAGGTGAAAAAGACTACTCGAATGGAGAAGGTGTTCACCACGTATGCTTCGCGGAAGGGTGTGAGCGTGTCTGCCTTGCGATTCCTTCTTGATGGCTCACGTGTCGGCGCGGAAGACACCCCCACGTCGTTGGAGCTTGAAGACCAAGACCAGATTGACTGCATGCTGGAGCAGCAAGGCGGTTGAGCTGACCCTGTCGGGTCGGGGTTGGGATTGGGTTGTTCTGCTGGACCGATGTCTTTCCGTATTGGTAGTTTCTGGGGCTTGGTTCGTGGCCCCACGTACTCTCAGTTTCGGCAGTACTTTTTTCGGCCTAGAAAACGAAGGTATCTTTCGAGAGCGCGATTAGAGTTGAGCAGGCAAGATTGAAACGCGGATGTCCGCTGCTTGACAGCTGATGGAACGGGTTGCGGCGTGCTACGCAGCATAGGTCTACAATGTAGAGTGAACCAACGTGCGTCTTGTCAGCCCTGATTAAGGGTCGTGTGTAAGGTAACTCTCTCTGCAACTTGCGACTGCTATCATGCAGGTTGTCGTTGGGAAGAGTAGTGGTTGGACATGTGCGAGGAACGGTCAATTTGCAACGGTCGTGGGTTCATGGTCTCTACTGAGAGCGAGCTAGAAATCTATCTTCGTGTCTGTGGTTCGATCCCGTCATCCTTTTCGCATCCTGCGTAATTAGGTGTACACGCACCAGCGCCACGCAGTACTTCAGGAATCCCAGTGGCAGGTAGTGTATTGGGACGCATTTGTAAAATATGAACGGACGCTAATATACGGTCGTGTCCCAAGTCCCAAGAGGATTGTGGGCGGCAGGCAAAGTCAATCACGCTTTCCACGCGACCCAGGCGCCTTTGTTCTAGACGCAACAAGCGTGTTGAGCTCCCTGCGTGTATTCTTTGGCGATTCTCTGTCAAATATATCATAAGTGCATGGAGTACGCCGGTGGGAGAGTATCCACAAGGGCTTCGGATGGAGCAGGAAGCCTCACCAAATCCAATCCGTACTTACATTACATGATCCGCTCCGACGTATACATTCGTTTGTGGTACTCATGGCCAGACAAGTTGATTGTGCGTAAGTAACCTTTAATCATGAAACAACGACAATCACTCAGATATGGGTATCCGAGTAACGATCTTGCCTGCTGTGTCTAATCAAGGTATTTCGCATGCCCTTAAGCCTGCTCAATGTTGTTTTTGCGTCTAGGAAGTGTGGCATCGCTTGGTTTCCCACAGATTGTTGCGTTGGCCGTGCAGTACTCTCATGGCGACTATGCGTCATATTGACACCCGTCGACATTTGTTGGCGAGCAGTTCGAAAAGAGCCAAGCCTCCTTCGAGCACGAGCAACGGCATATCCTCCGCCGTCCATATCCTTTCGGTGCAAAGGTCCGTCCAATGGTCGCTGTCGGATGGTATTATCCAACACGCGCAGGTCACGAGTCCGCGCGGCGTTTCCCATAAACGCGTCCTCCGCACCAGGGTTGGGTAGACTAGATTGACATGCTTGCAACTGAGGTGCCGCGTGTAGCATGGGCGCCAGCGGCACCCTTCCGGTGGTTGGGTCATCGATAGGGGCGACATCTGGCGGGACGAAGGTAGCCGTATTGAGCGGAGACGAAGCAAAGATCTCCTTGTCGGACGCAAGTCCTGCTGCATTTTCCAGTGGTGTTTCAAACAACGGAGATGTCCATGCAGACAGCTTCGGAGGATACCAGTGGGAAGACCCCTCATGATCGATTCCTTTCACCGCCGCGCCTACCTCAAACTTAACTTGTGCGTGCGCCGCGTCGTGGGGTGCTCGCCGACTGTAACTGGGAAGATCTGCCGTGCTCCCGCCTCCGCACCACCTGTCGCCGGGGCTGTCCTTGAAATCAAGTCCGAGCTCACGGTCAAGCTCAGTGTGAGTATCCTGCTCCTGGCGAAGTGCCATACCATCGGCCAGTGCTTGCAGAATCCTCTGTGACGAAATCTTAGAAGAATCTCTGACCTCTTTCTCGGGCGGCTGCTCTGCGGGCTTGCCGACTACGCTTTCTTCGGTTACTTGATTTTTTTCAAGTTCATCGGTGGCGTCCTGCTCGCCGTACACGATGGGTTGCTACGGAATATTTGGAATGAACAAAAAGGGGGCGGAAAGGCGATCAAGGTAGACGACAAAGCATCAGGCACGTCGCAAGGCCGCTGGAATAAAGAGTGACAGAGGGTTTGTTGCTCTTGTTTCATGGGAGCAATACATTGCAAGCTTGTCCTTGCATTCACACCAACACACCAGATACTACAGTAATTTTTCCGTCCTCTCGAATTCTCCGCTGTAATTTCATTCCGTTACCCCCATGCGCTGTCCGGTGCGATAGCTCCAATAAAAACAATAAACGTCGGCCTCATCGGTACTCCATGTTCCACCTACTTTGATTTCTATGTAAATTTTTTTTTGTACCTTGCCGAGTCGCTTTTGCATGCAGAGCATGGCCACTTCAAGCTCTGCTCCGATGCATCGTCCAGTTTCTTGCAGCGTGTTTGTACACCACGGCTGTGCAGTCACGTTCGAGAGTTCTTCGGCTTCACTTGAGGCAAATAAATGCCTTGAAAAATCGTTGTATGTAGTACCCGGCGCGTATTGGGGCGATGGGTCAATTTCTGTGTCTGCACCTTCTGCCATGAGAGTGCCATCTGATTTCACGGCCAGATGGCCTCGATCTCCGGTCGAATCCAAGGGGTTGCCGTTTCTGTCAAAGTTGTTGTTCTTCGAATTGTCGGCGTCTCCACCACCACCCTCTTTGTCATCCTTGTTGGTACTGGACGACGGTGAGTCAGTTATGCCCGGCGGTGAAACTGGTGGTGCAATTAGGGCACCGCTCAGGTTTCCGGAGTCTCCTTTCCGCTGCCCTGAAGGCCCGTCAATCTGAAGCGCCTGTGAGAAAAGGCGGGAAGCGGTTACACTTGGCTGTTTTCGGAAGAATGTGAACTGCACTCAGGTGATGTCCGGACGTTCAGTACAGTGGTAGTCAATGGGCCGAATACGTAACGGCCTGGGAGGTCATCACGCACCTCAATTTTCTTTACTTTTTCCTCCACGGCACGAAGAACTCCAGCCATCTGATGAGTGACGGCTTCCATCGAGATGTCAGCGTTCTCAAGGAAATGAAATCTACGTGGACCCAAAGCGCTCGGCGGAAGGGTAGGATGTCTGGTGGGCAAGGCTCGGTCCCCGTCTAGAACGTACTGTCGTGGGTGAATACGTCCCACAAACCCTTCAAACATGTTGTCAGCATCTTCTACGCGTATGGTCTCCATCGTTGAGACAGCACCATCCCTCCTGTTGGCCGCATCCTGTAGCATGACATGTTCTTCCCTCACCTGCCACATCAAGCAGTAAGCAACCAATTTAGCAATGCTTGGCATGCACCACACAATTGAAACACTACTTGTTTATGTAGATACAAAGCGGTGCGTTCTTGAGACGTGTTTCGGATAGGGCTCTTACCATGTCTTCCACCCTCTTTGTCTCCGCTTGCCTCCAAGCATCCTTTTCGGCCTCTTCGGCTGTGAGGGCCTCCTTGGCGACCTGTTCTCGAGCTTTCGCCATAAGAGTGAATTCCAGCAGCTTCGCATCCAAATCGTGGGCTATTTGGACAAGATTGACTGGTAAGTTTTCTCCTAGAACAGATGGTAAAAAGAAATGCAAGAGGATGGGCTTAGTGATGTCCATTGAAGTACCATTCAAATTCATAGGACACATGCTCCGAATATTTAACGCTTGTGTACGATCCGCGAAAGGCACATCGATGCAGGACGCGTCATTTGCGCTTCTCCAGGATTTAGATTTGTCCTATCTCTACAACTCTGCCTTGTCCTCTTAAATTTGCCCGCAGTTAAGCGAATTCCATAGCTTACGCGGTGACAGATGCCCAGAAGACCCTGCTTGTTGCCGCTGGATGATTCCGCTCCGCAGCTGTTTGAGCACGCCATCAAGATCTGAAGCCACGCCGACGGCGCTCGGATTATTTTCCCAAGTCGCATGCTCGCCGCGTAGTTCCAGCTGCTGCTTATCTTGGCCCGACTCGTCCTGAAATAACGGCAGTGACCGACGCTAAGCGTTGGGTGGTTACGTTCGGCGGCAAAGTAAACAGGTCGAGATGACAGACAAATGTGTAGCATACCTGATACCCCTACCGCGGGAAGGTTATACCTGAACGGAAGTTCTAGGTTGCATATGTGCAGCAGCTGGAAGTATAGGGAAACGGAGCCGCAAACATCCCTTATCCAGGAGGCTAGCGACATATGCCATGTATATTGCGATGAAAAAGAACAGACGGGAGACGAGGACTCGCAAGTGTGCCTCCCCTCTTTTACGCAACAGCCCATCATGTCATAATGCTGTTTCGATGGATGTGCATTTCAGCAGGAATAAAAGCAATCCATCGCGACGCAGAAGATCAACTTCCTGCTCACATCTGCTGCTGGCTTTGGCGATGTCAGCGATATTTGACCCCGAAGTTCAGCACCTCCAGAATAACTTCGCGGATCCAGTTCATGAGAATCCTGAAGGTAGAGTTCATGATTGTCTTCACTGTACCGGGCTCCAGAACGTCCAAATCCTGCTCTTTTGTGATCCGCGGCAAGAATCAAGCTATTCCTGGGGTAGTACCCAACAGATGAATGGACTGGCATGTGAGATGCCGGCGCCAGACCTGGCGACGGCATCACATGTGGTGGCTTTCGAGAACGATCCCCTCTATTCGCCGCTGTTGAAGTCATGAAGCTCTGAATGTCTCGGGACATAAGCTTGTCAACCCCACTGGTGGCAGAAGGAGCGGGCATGGCAGTCATTTGTTGAGACATGAAGATGACAGCAGTGTGCAGTACTCTGCCACACGATTATGGTCAAAGGGCATAGCTAGGGATAGCCGTCGAGGCGTTGAGGGCGTTCCCTCTACGGCGTACTTGCTGTACTGCTGTGCAGGACCGATAACACTCGAGACTACTGTATGTACAGCAGTAGACGATATCTCGTAAAGAACAAGTACTTCTACAATAGAAGAGAGTACTCTTCGTATTTGCTGTAGTTGGGTGGCTCAAGCAGTTTGGGGCTATGTGCCTAGGGTTGGACACGCAGATATCACGACGGCTGGTGTTCCTGTCGTACTGCTGTACACGACGTTCTCGGATCCCACCCACCTCCGCCGTATCTTCTCGCCTGCGATGGGGAACCGGAGTCGGTCATTCTCAACCGTGTGCTCTTGTACTACTCGGACATTGTCGTCCTTCCCTGCTGGGCTCTCTTCGCGTACCCACCACAAATCCTGATTTAAGCATGAGGGAGGACATGTTCACGGCGGTGTCCAGGAAGGCTATTTTTGCTGTGACCTCAAATTTACCGGCCGATGTTTTACTGCTGTACTGTACCGTGGCAAAATAACACAAGAAACCGGACATACTTTCGTGCAAGCACCTGCTTTCCCCGTTGTTCTCGTTCCTGCCGACTTGTAGGCTTGTTTTCCCGGAAACGCTGGATCATCGAGCGGACAGAGAGCATCGTCTCCTCTCCTAGCTGCATGGCAAGGCCTGGCTGGGTCCCAAATCTGCCGCCGACAGGACCAAACCAAAGACAAAATGCGGCGGAAAAGAGAAGACCAGCAGACCAGCAGACAAGCAGTGTGTAGAAACCCTTTGTTGCGGGGTTGGGGGCCAATTTTCTGTCCCCCTCCCTCTCTCCGCTCTGCACGAAGGCTCTCCGGTCGTGTTCTCTGTTTCGAGCGCCCGTCCTCTGCGAAACTAGCTTGGACAGCGAGCTTTCGCTTGGCACGTCGCCCGAGAGCAACCATGGGTGAGTTTTCTATGCCCCCGTTTTGCCTGTTGCATGTAATATTTTCGCAGCAATTTGGGATTTCGACGGCCACACGGGCGGCGCTGGCATCCATATGTGCACAGCGAACCTCGACGCTAATCCCTGCCCATCCTAATCTCCTACTTGCTCTTTCGTTCATGCCAGCATGCGCTCGCCTTCAGGCCTAAATCTCTCGTTCGTGCGATTGGGCGTTCTTTGTATGCTTGTTTTGTGTTCGCAGACGAATTAGGAGGGACATCACCCCTCCAATTGCTGCAAGATGACTTCGAGTCTTCGGACCAGGAGATACGTCTGAAGGCGCTCAAGCGTGTAAAGCTGGTTGCGGATGTGCTTGGCCCGGAAGTGACCCGAAGCGAGCTCATTCCTTTCATCAATAGTGAGTGTTTACTCGAAGCACCAACCTACGGTCCGAGCCAGGTTGTGGTGCTGGAAAAACAAATACTTGTTGTGCTCCGCAGTCGGTTAGACATTCTGTCATATATTCCATACCACTCAGCGGAGAAAGGAAAACCAGAGCAAAAGGGCAGAGGCGGGCCGGGGACTTTTGCTGTGGGTAGTCATGTTCTTTGCGTCGAAAGGGAATGTCCCAAGCTTTTCTCTCTGTAGGGCATACATGCAGCACAGAAAGGGTTGCGGTATTAGGACACAAGTCTAGCTCTGGTGTAGCGTTCTGCAATGTGTACTTCTACACAGCAATTACATGGTCTAAACGTCTGAAAGTGGGTACTTGAAATGTTTTGTAAACCGTCGTGTCGTTTTTTTTCTTTTCTCAATATCACACAACAAATCCATCTCTATCTATAAGAAATAAGTCCAAGATAGATTAGCAATGAATCCATAGCGTGCGCGAAAGGCTTCCTGTATGTCTACGGTTTCCCAGACAGCATACAACGATATCTCCCCTGTGGGTAACAGGCTCAACAAGACAGTTTGGTAGCCATCTTGTGTATCTATGTGTATGTTCTGTTGGGAAGTTGTAGACGGAAGATTTAGGGGAACTCGGTTTGTCGGGTGTGACCTTTTATGGCACCCTTGTGTGTTTGCGGAGCAAGCGCGGCTGTCTTTGGGTTTTTTTTTTCTCTCCGCCCTCTGCCATTAGTTACGGTCTACCTTGAATTCTTCGTGATCAGGTACACAGCAGGATGTACTTCCATGTAGCTCCCAACTCCCGGCCCCGTGGGAAGTTCCTTAGGTTTTGGTCTCCACTCTGCCGATATCAAGTTCAAACGCACATCACACATCAGCAGATCGTCAGTCCCTATGAAACACAGCAGCGGGGGGGGGCGATACAAGACGAAGATGACGGTTCGCCGAAGCCTGATTGGTGGTACGTTGAAAGTAGGCATCTTGGCCAACGGCCGTAGATGAAGAACGCTTAAGCGCACGGTCAGGTTGAGACTGTTTTCATAGAGCAGTACCGCCCTGTTGACGGCAAAAGGTTAATAGGTGCTGACGTTTGCTGTACGGGCCGTGCCACTCGTCACGTCATGGGTGTTGCCGCCTCGGCTATATGCCATGACGGCAGTACGTTATTCATCAGGTCCCTCCCGCACCAGCCCTGTGATTGTGGATGGGATCCGTCGTCACAGGCACGCAGGCGTTCCTATGGTGGTACGACCAACGACTGAATGCCTATTTCCTTGTGGACAGCGAGAAGTAAAAAAGCAAGTGAGCACTGTTGAAGAGGCTTCGGTTCGAAACACAAGTCAATCTCGTCTCGGCGACGAGAAAGAACACACACCAATAACAATTAGTCCGGGTCGACCGGACCCCCAAAGACACGAGATTTATTCAGGTACTTGTTGAGCATGTCCGAACGCCTACTTCCTAGCCCCCCATCCTGCGTGTACTCCACCCCTTAACCAATATGCATGGTACCATGATTTTTCTGGGTTCAAGTTGTAGCACAACAGCAGTAACTCAAGGTTACCCCAGGATGCCTCCTCCGTCCTACCGTCCTATTTCCATTAGCTGAGGCTATTGTCTCACATGGATTTTTCGGTGCGGTAAATGCACCACCTTCCGCTTCCGTTGCGGCCTTCGCCTTTCTTCGATTTCCCTCGAATCAGAGACTCGTGGTTGCTGCCTTACCGGGTGTGCGTTGGGTAGTTGCTGCCTGATTTGGGTGCCCTGTAGCCTTTCGAATAGAGCTGTCGCCACCTTGTACCGGGGACGACTGGTGTGCATCAATGTCAGCCGCCTTATATCGGGGCACATACTGTAGATGTACATCCGAACATGTTTTTGAATTACTCGCATGCTCCTTCTCTTGCTTCGCCCGACCGCGCCCGTCCGCGCAAATACTAGCAAATGTGATGTGTTGCGTATCAGTTCTTGTTTTAACGCCATCACTTGCTTTTTTACATGCCATGCATACACCTTCCAAATCTACGGTGTGTTGTGTTTTCTCGCTTACAAATGTACCCTATGTACCCCTTACCTCGTCCACGGTGATGGTAGAAGATGGAATCACTTACTCTCGAGTTGCTTGGCAGCAGGATTTGTGAGCGTGTCCCGTGACATAGGACGGATGATACAAGAAAGAAATCGCGCAGCAATGAACTGCTTGGGTTTGGATATCCCATTCATACAACAGGCACGTGATATTGAGCTGGACTGAAGGTACTTGAGACCTGCAGCATTTTCGTTTGCGAAAAGATCGACGCCTGAATTTCCATCCTCTTGCCTCTGCTCTGTTTGTTTGCATTCCTTGGTATGTCGCGGTTTCAAGGTTATTCGCTGCTTGCCACGGAGGCGAGAGGCCACATGTTTTCACTCCCCACCTCACCCCACCCCACGCATGTTCCATGGGTTCAATCGGTTTTCAGCTATTGTGGAGGATGATGATGAGATATTGCTTGCCCTCGCCGAAGCTTTGGGGCAGCTGGTGCCCGCGGTGGGAGGCCCGGGCCATGCGGCTCTTCTATTGCCTAGGTGAGCCGAAATTTATCAGTACCAGGTTGAAATGCCGTTCAGTTATTTGTCTTGAGAGATACCCTGCAAAACGAGTAACATTTATCGTATGTCGCTCACACAGCGTTAAGAATCATGGTTGGTTGGCAACCTTGAAGAAGCCCGTGTTTTGTCTTGGAGTTTTGCCGCTGCGGATGGTGACAAGCCTCGTACCGTTATGCGCAGCCCGGCTTTGAATACCGTTTTGTGGAGAAGAGTCGTTGGCGTCTCAATAGTCTGTACCAATGGAGGGCGAATAAAGCTGTTGCCTTCCGTGGCGTTTTGAGACGGTGAGCACACCTGTTGGCTTTTGTGGCGCTGAACATCAATTTGAAACTGTCGTGACACGGCAGCAGTATTACGCAGCACGTTTGAGGACTAGTCAAACCTGAAACCTTCGCGACGGTGGTAGGGCACTCGCCCAACCGGCAGAAGCACACACTTTGTGTTGTATGTTGCTGCCTTCAACTGATTGGACGGGTTCGCAAGTTTTCAACTTAGAAACAACGGGTTTGAAACGATAGGAATGCAAACAAAAAAGCACGTACAAGTTGTCAACGCGCTTTGTCCCCCTCGTTGTGTAGTGTGCCCTCGCCCTATGTTTTTGCCGAACGATTGCCAGGTGTGTCCGAGCCCCTGTGTAGTACATCATTTACTTTTGCTTTTTTCTTAAAAAGCGAACTCGACATGACCGCCAAGCGAAAACTTGGTTCTTAATGTCGATCGTGACGTGATGGATGAGCTGTGCATTGACCTTTCCAAACAGTCCCGGTAGATATTGTTCATCGTGGGTTCAGGCGAGGAAGCGGTGTGTGTGTGTACAACTCCCCATCGTCACTGTTGTTCTACCCAGAATGATGGACAGAGCGACCACAATGAAACTTACCCCGGACATGTATCCCCAGGGAGTGTTTCGACACAAGATCCTCCGTGTTTGCTTGGATTTCCTAACTCGCAACTCCATACGAAAACGGTCTCACGCTAGGGGGAAACCAGAGGAAACTATAGTATGGCATAGTTCTGTGGTGCTGTGGGCGTGGGCTTGAACCGCGAGCTCTGCTTTAGGCCCGCAGAAGATTCGGGACCGTCGTAGTGGGTGTAGCAGTGACAACGGTTTCAGGGGGCAGACATGCCGCAGATTCTGATCCTGTTAAACCTATATTTCTGCCATGAATTACGCCCCGCAGCAGTCCCTGGTGTGCCAACTGTTGATGGTTCCTGCGCCGTTCGCCTTGTCTCATGCTTAAGGTCGTGAAGGCCCCATGTATGAACGTCGGTTCTCAAAGTGTGCGCTTTATTGTGAATCTAAGCCATCATGTTGAATATGGACAACATAGGCGTGGTGTGTTGTACGACGCGTCGCATGCTGCCCCCGCCCCCCCCTCCCGTGCCCTTCTTTTTTTCCAATTCGGGCAAGGTGAAAAATAGTGTACCTTCTTGCCCTACACATACCTCCGTCTTTCCTCTCTCCGAGATGCTGGGTATGTGTGCAGCACGAGAATTGTCATCCGTCATTCGTTCATTTGTATGTGCTCCTGTGTACTCCTGTTGCCCATGACAATTTAAATTGTCCAGCTTGGAGAACCTAGCGGCGATGGAGGAGACGGTAGTGCGGGATAAGGCGGTGGAGTCAGCGTGCATGGTTATTGGACTCATGCAAGGCGGTCAGCAAGAGGTGCGGTTGGTGGTGCTTGCGAGTTGGGGGTTTGTACTGACGTACATGGGAAGATCCCGACCACGCTTGTGTGATTTGTTTGTTTGGTTTTTGGTTGCGGTTCACAAGGGCGGCTGGATGATTTGACCATCCTAACTTGAGTGGGGGGAAACGTCCCCACGTGGTGCGTAGAGCCGCTGGCCTGGAGCTCGCTGAACCCCAAACGGTCGAACGCCGCTTACCAAGGGAATCTTTTAAGCTTTGATAATTTTTTAACCTGATGATCATGTTTGGATTGCTTGCTGGCTTTTTGCTGGTGTACCAAATGTCGGTACCAATGGTAAAACTGCTTCCATGGGTATACGCGAACATTATCGAGAAAAAGAGATCGGTGCGGCACGTGCAACATGGAGCACGAAACGTCGTTCGTTCGACACCAAGGGCAGCAAGAAGACTGTTTGCTCAGGTGTAGACTGCTGCATTCAGATTTGTTTATTTCTACTTAGTTCGTTGGGGTTCGCTTGGCCTTTCGAGTCAAGAAGCTCAGGTGTAGACTGCTGCATTCAGATTTGTTTATTTCTACTTAGTTCGTTGGGGTTCGCTTGGCCTTTCGAGTCAAGAAGCTCAGGTGTAGACTGCTGCATTCAGATTTGTTTATTTCTACTTAGTTCGTTGGGGTTCGCTTGCCCTTTCGAGTCAAGAACAATACAGCTGTGCTAGCTGTTAGTTGGGAAACACCACACCTGGCAGCTGGCGGCCAGCCGTGTCCTGCCTTCTTTTCTTATTGCCATCTTGCGTCACCCCTGGATGACACAGTGCTCTCATGATGAGCCCACTCCGGAGGGATCAGTTGTACCTCTCGAAGCATATATATTGCACGGTCGGTATTCTGCGGGGAAGACAGGGATTTCGGTCATGCCTGATCGACCAAAATCGAGAGATTGTTTTGGGTCCGCGTGGAGCTCTTTGGAGCGTTCCACATACTCCTCGGCTTCGACTTACAGCCAGTATCGCCGTGTTCCTCGAGAGCTCCCTGCGTACGACAACGTCAATCATGTTTTTTTTGGAGTCCGGCGATATGGTTCTTGTTGTTACCGCACGTGCCAAAGCAGTCTTTGGTAGTAGGTGGGCGAAAACAATAGTATCGCAAGGTGCTTGATCTTTTTGTACCGAACGGAGGTTTTGTGATTGCGCCGGCATACTCTGTTACAGCACAACTCACTTGTATATCGGCAAGAGTAGCGAGTTGGTACTTGATTTGGAAGAGACGGAAAAGTGTCAGGTGCTTGATGGGAACTCCCCATGTCAATGTAACCAACAAACAACGACAACGAGAGCAATGCTGTCGGACTTGTCGGGCAGGAACCTTGGCTTTCTTGCCAAGTTTTTTCATGAGGCGAACTCAGGGTTGGGGGGGCGAAACAAGAAAATGGTTAACGATTAGCCCGGGGTGTCATCAATGTGTTCGAGCTTCGCCTTAGGTTCGACCAGTGGTATTTCTATTCTTGGAGCTCTATCAAAGGAAAGGTATTACAGCGGTGCAGCAGTAGCAGTTTACGTCGCCGACGTCGAGACTCGAGACCTCGGCCTGGGATATTTGTGTACATCCTCATGACCATCCTCATGACGGCTGTTGATGGAAGCCTGCTCCCCGAACAGGAATGAGCTGTCACTGTCTTCTCGCGACAGCTTCAAAACAAAGTACGCACACAGTGGTTTGCCTGCCGCGATGGAAAAGTAGCCATGAACGCTCGTTGTCTCGAAGCTCAATGCGGTAGTGACGGCACGCAGGGCATCCGCTTACATGATGGCTCGATTCTTGAGGCAGAATTTTGTATCGCTTTCGACGTGGGCAATATCTAGTGGGCACAGCGAACTCTTAGGCGTCACCAGCAGTCGTGATGAGCGTAGCTCATGTGGTGACCTCGTCGATGAGCGCACCGTACAAAATACAAGTGGTGATTTAAGAATTGTTTCTGTTGCCTTTCTCGCGAAAGCCCTCCTGATGTTGCAACTTTATGCCGACCGTGATCACTTGAGCAGGTGGCGGACATGGTGACTCGGCTGAGTACAGGAGACTGGTTTACGGCCAAGGTGTCTGCTTGTGGGCTGTTCACTGCAGCTTACAAGCACATCTCAGAACACGACCAACGCACGTTGCTGCGTGCACAGGTGTGGGGTGGGGCCACAGAATATTGTAAATAATACACTGTAATTTGCTATTTTATTGTTCGGTTATGAACCCGCAAATCCGCAAGCACCCGTAGAGGGCCCAGTTTGTCAAGCTTCTGTGGTATAACACGTTCTGTCTGTCGGCAACTTTAGCTCACCTATGCTGTCGAAGTTGCTGTGATACAGATACATTCTATTTTTTGCCAGACAAACGGTAACAGCTGCTGTGACTCACGCGATCGCCCGTCAGTTGCACTCACAGCTGTTTGGGGAATATTTGTTGTCACGATCCTGTCAAGGTTGTGCCTGTGATCCCATGGCAAAGTTGAAAGCACCGCCTCACTTGGCCAATATTGCAAGATTTCGTTAACCCCCGACCTCCCGACCTCCCCGTTTCCGGTGTGAATCTCGGCAGTTTGACGTCCTGGCGAAAGACACAGATACGCCCATGGTCAGGCGGGCCGTAGCGTCCAACGTGGGCAATTTCGCCGGGGTGGTTGAAGGTCACTTGCTTTTGAGCGACGTGGTGCCTGTGTTCGAAGCATTGGCTTCAGATGACCAGGACAACGTCCGTTTACTGGCAGTGGAACAAGCCGGCAAAGTGGCCAAGGCTTTGGTGGACCAAGTGAGTTCTGGTTGATTGCATCAACTATTTTACTTCTGCACGAATTTTGTCGTGCTTGTGCAGTCTGCTCCAGCTTGGGGAAGCTGCACTGTAAGAATACAAATTGGTAACAATTGGCGGCTGCGCTTGGTCTTGCATGTACTTTGTACTTTCAAGCCTTTTTGGTGATGGGCCATTCCAAGTATCGCAAGGCCGAAGAAAGTGGTTTCAGTGGAGGGCCCTCAATAACGCCGGTTAAATAACGCCGGCGGCCCTCAATAGCGCCGGTGTTATTGCTGGGCACAGCCAGAGCCCTCAATAACGCCGGTTTGGGCACCTCTACACCCCGCAACGCCGTTTTATTTTTTTTCACACACACGAACCACACACCACGCACCTACCTTGAGGAGGTTACATACCAGTAGACGTGCATCGACAGACCCTACAGCTCTACATAGAGGCGCACCATGCCATGTGCGGAAGGTGAATTGTGCCTTCAGAATGTCAAGACGCCGCAAGCTCCTGATGGGCACGGTTGCAAGTGACCGTCAAGACTTACCCCCGGGGCTGCCCGGGCTGCACCAGCGTTCACCAGCCCATGGACCGGGGGATTATCGCCAAGACGAAGCTCATCTACAGGAAATAGCTGCTCGATGTCAAGGTGCCACTATGTTGGTGGCTGACACACTTGGCGCCCAGGCCAAGGAGCGCAAGAGAAGGCTGGGACGGCCGGGCTGGCGGAGGGGCACCACCCTCACCCTCACGTGCGGGACGCCGCGGATTTTCTCAAGAAAGCATGGGCCAGCGTCACCTCCCAGGACATCGCCAGGTAGGCTTAAGTATATGATGTTCCTGTTCGTGCAAATATTTTGATCAGGTGAACATAGGATTGCGCAATACTTGGGGAGACATTGTTTCCGATTCCCTGCCCTCCTCTCCTTGTTGTTTGACACCAAAGATTGTCTGCCTACTCATGCAATGGTTTTTGCGGCTTTTCCTGTTTTGCATCTCCTGCGCTATCTACGACCCAGGTGCCTTGTCAAAGCCGACACCTCCCGGAGGAGATGGTGGTTAAGCTCGCCAGTGCGCACGGAAAAGCGCGGGGCCGTGTCACCGACCCTCCGGTGAGGGCTCTTAAGGACACCCTCAACGCGTTGAGCATGAGTGTGCACGACGCGCAGCAGGTTCGCTCCCGCGATGAAGACGACATCTGTGAATTGCTGGCCAACCTCGACGTTACAATGAGAGAGGCTGCTGGCGAGAAAACCATGGACGCGATTCGGGTTTTGGGAACCTTGGAGGGTGAGGATGACGTGCTAGACGCGATGCGAGAGGATGCGGCAGAGGAAGTCACTACACGGCTAGCTGCGACCCACTTTGATGATTCGGAGGAAGAAGAAAAGGGGGGAGATGACGACGACAAGAGCACGGAGCGCGTTAGGGGTGCCCCACCGGCCTATGCTGAACTGTCGTCTCACTTCGGCGTCCTGGAGCGGGCTGCGGAGGACTGGGGGAACGCAGACGCTGCCTTTGACCTGTTTAAAGCCAGAATGGCGATGATCGCAGCGCATGCGGCTAAGGAAACGCGCCAGACAGACTTGAGGGAATTTGTTGCGACGGAAGTTATTGAAGCGGAATGAGCAGGGGAGATAACGCGGGGGTGTAGTCAAAGCCGTCATTTTTTGTTGTTTCGTTTTTGGCGTTTGATCCGTTCTGTCTCTACCCGGCTAACTGGTTTTGTGTCTGATTATCTGCATGTGGCGCTTCGTTCGCGGTCGTTTCTTGTTCGTTCCTCGCTACATGAATGAAGGGCGAAAGAGTGCTGTTACACGTTTCTCGTCCATGTTTGTTTTACTTTGCTGTTGCTCGCTTTTTGCAACTACGTAACTTTCACCATTCCATGGTGTAATGGGTGCAGTTGTGTCGTCGTTTCGCTGTCGCGGAGTCCTCTCTGTAACAGCAACGTTTCCGGCTGCACAGCGCCTATCTATGAGGCAGGAGGATCAGCATGCTGCCGCCTTGCTAGATAATCAGTTAATAAGCACAACTCTAGGCGGACTAGGACCATATTTATGCTTTGCAGTCCGCCCACTTCACTGCTCAATCGTTTCCTATTTTATTTGTGAAGATATTGGCTCCGTAAAGCGCAATGGCTGTGCCACATGACCACAATCCTTCAATAGCGCCGGTTGTGGCGCTATTGAGGCACAATTCCAACAGCGCCGGTCGTTCTGAAAAGCGCCGGTCGAGGCGCTGGGCACATGCCGGCGTTATTGAGGGCCCCCCACTGTACATACTGTAGGACATGGTGCTGATCATCAACCTGGAGCTAACTTTGTTTTCCGAGAGGCATTGCCAAGCAGCTATCGTCCTCCCGTGTGCCTCAACTCCACCCCTTACGAACACTGCTCTTGCTTTTTTTGTAGCAACTGGAGGATGAGTGTGCGTCTCATATCGTACCTGTTATCAAGCGCGCGGTGGAGGACCGCAGCTGGCGGGTACGTTGTGCAATGGCGCGGGGCTTCGCGAACGCAGCGCATGCTGTTGGACCGAAGCTGACGACGGTAGAGCTGTTGCCCTGCCTCACGAGGTAAGCGTTTTCTTCCGTTGATTCGTGGATGGTTTGGTTGTAGCAAACTTGGTAGCGTGTGATGTTACTTATTTTCGGTGGTCTTCAGAGGCGGTGCAATGTCGGATCGAGACCGACACACCTTAATTCCTCCGGGCACTGATGCAGTGTGGTCTGCTAGCAGCGCTGTGAAAAGGCTATGCCTTGTGCCAACACGGCCGTCGTTCTATTGGCGTGTGGTACCGTGTGCAGCATCAGGTGGTAAAAGGTCTTCATGGGCGAGTGTGCGTCGTTCGTCTGAACATGCCCCTTGATCAATCACCACAACATCTGTCTGCTATCACACACTCTGTTGAGTTATTGTTTAGCTGCCGCGAACTGGTGGAGCTTACACCTTGTCCTTGCTGTATTATTTGTTCGCTTCTTGGCGTCTATTTGCAGCCTTCTTCAAGACCACGAAACCGAAGTGAGGGCAGCAATGATCAAGGACATCTCAAGCTTCGTGGATTTGGTCGGACCATCTACATTCGCCAGTCAAGTAATGCCATACGTGCTGGCACTGCTTCAGGATGTGAACCTGGTGCGTGTGGTGTACAGCTTGACTGCGAGGTTGAGTGAACCGCTGTTTTGACGATGGTGTCTTGTTCCAATTTACCTGGTGGCCCCCCATGACTGATTGATATCCGTCGATGACACTGCTGCATCGTCACGTTTCTCCGGCAGAATGTCCGGATTGCCCTATCGAACGCATGCATGAAACTTGCGCCCAAGCTTGGTCAGGAGCACACGATGACTCACATCTTGCCGATGCTTCTGGCCTTCCTGCGGGATGAGTCCTCAGAGGTACGTTCCCGCAGTCACAGGGTGGTAGTGCTGCGGTCAAACCTAGCAGAGCAGAGTGTCGTCGCCCAGATTGCTTGCATGTTGCTTTGGGCGTGTTTTTACTCAGAGTTTCCACAAATGGTCTTATCCACCATCCACCAACTTAGCTGTTTATTGTCGGCAGCGGCGACAAGGGACTCGATTCGATGTACGTGTGAAAAATAGTAATTTCGAGTACAAATAACACTTTTGACGCGAGACAGGATCGATTTAACTCCCCACTGCACCGTTGCTTGCGGCCTTTTTCTCCTCTCCTGGCGGAAAAGCTGGAGTGTTTCTAAGTAGCCACCCTCGATAATCCTGCGCTCGAGCGCGTTGGCTGTTTCCTCTGTGTGCTTCAATGGCTCGTTTATGCGACCCCGTGAGACTATTGACCGTAAAATATACCCCAACCAATGGCGATGTCGCTTCACTAGGCTAGCTATTCGTTGATATATTTTGGACGCCGTTGTGGGTGGGTAGAGGGTTGGTTAGCCCACGGACTACCTGATCTCCGACCCGACCGCTTGCTTACAGTTAGCGCCCGCGCTTTGGAAACGCCAGTTTTTGCGGTCCACCAACAAATTATTATTGTGGACTGAAAAGTCAACGTACCTTGTCTAATCTGATCTCAAGTTTCTTATTTTTTCGTAATGCAGAGTCCTGCTGAATTTCTTCAATTGTATTTCTTAAGCTTTACATGCCCTCACGAGAGGCGGCGGAGAGCGCCATCAAACCCGTCGAGCAGACAGCGTATAGTGGTTCGTGACATGTGCCCGACAGCGCCAGACCCGGCAGGGTGGGGGAGGGGGCGCCGCAAGAACCCCCCCCCCCCTCGCCATACACCTATGCACTACTACTATGGGGTGGGTAGCACATGGGAGAGAGGGCAAGAGAGAGAGCTAGGAGATGTGTGGGGGTGTTTGTTGTTGGACACACTACCCCGTAACCCCTCGTTTCTTACATGGTAGGGGAGCGGTCGCTCCGGTTTTCTTATTGAGACGTTTCTTACGTAGTGGCCCAGATTGAGTTGTATGTCTCTTAACCCCATTTTCTTTTTTCCGTGGAAATTCGAGCCTTTGCTTCTGACAAAAAATCTTAATCGCGCGCGCCAACTGTATGTTGGCTGCTATGCCCACGCGCGTGTATGCTGACGGCTGAGTTATCCTTTTTCGGTGATGTCACCTGTTGTTGGCGTCAAAAGCGCACAGTATCCACCCATTACAGTAGTGAATGCACACCAGGCAGGCGACAGGGGGTGACTTGATGAGGTTTATAGAAAGCCCTTAGCGTTTGCATGCGATACGCTGCCTCTTTTGTGCTCACAAACCCTTAGTCGTGACCCTCCGTTCCTGTGCAGGTACGACTGCATATTCTTCTTCAATTGGATGGCCTGGCGGAGTGGATGCCAGCCATGGCAGAGCAGGTCAGCACTTCAAGCCCACCGTCCTTTCGGCACGAAACAGCCGCTAAGTAGCTGACAGAAAAAAACACACTTCTAGGTATCAGTTGATGCAGGTTTCGGGTTCATGTGTGCATGTTTTTACTGCTTGGTCCGTATTGTTCCTGTTCCTCCCTTGTGAAGAGTTCAACGCGTTACAACCGCAAATCATGCTGGTCTCGACCAATCCTATATGGGTACTTTTTGGGCATATACTTCGAGATCGCGATCCCCATTATTTGAAATCAAGGCTGCCAAATCCACGTTTCATGTGTTGGGCATCGAGAGCTGTCGGTTGATGCAACTTGTCGAAGTAGGATCCTTCCCTCTGGAGACCGGTTTTATGGTTCCGCGCAAGAACGAGAACATGGGCCAATTTACACTTGGTACAAGACCAGTGTTTCGTCAGCACACAACTGATTAAACCTATGCATAACTAACTCGTATTCAATCGAAACCTTATCGCGCTGACAGGTGCTTCCTCTGGTCCTTGAACTTGGGCAAGACATCATCTGGAGGGTGCGGAGGGCGGTGATGGTCAGCGTTCCTCTCTTGACGGAGAGGATGGGGGTGAATTACTTTGAAGAGAATCTGCTGGAACTTTACCTGCAGGTGATGACTCGTTCACAACAGCTCTATGACTCGTCCCTGTTTTATTGCTTTAGCCGTGTGGAGACTCCGGTGCACTCGTGTTGGTGCCGATACCGGTGCTTCGTGTTTGGCGTGTGCAGTGCATCAACATCTGCGCACGATTTCTGTGTTTGGTCTCTTTTCACCCAGGCATACCGGGACAGCGTGAACGAGGTACGGGTCGGCGCATCAGAGGGGTTGCAACGACTGTGCAAGGTTTGCGGCGCAGATTGGTTGCAGGAGAAGGTCCTGCCGCGTATACACGGGTTCTATGACGAATCTACATTCTACCTCATCAGGATCGCAATCCTAAACGCGCTCAAGAAACTGGCCAACGGAGAGGTAAGTGACGGCGTGCAGGACACATTATATAGGTGCGACTGGCGCCAAACGTGGTTCGTGTTTGGTTTTTCAAGCTGTTTAGTTTCCTTGTGACTGAATCAGATTTATAGTTGGCTCTATCCAGTTGTGACAATCCGCTTTCCCCAAGGCTGGCCTTCGGTAAGTATCGCGGTATATTGCTCGTTTTTTCGATTTCTCAAGTGTTGTTTCTCACGGAGCAAGCGTTAGTATGCATATAGGGTGTCGAGAGACGAGCAGATCGAGAAAATGGTGTTGATACGCTTGAAACGCTCGTGCTGATGTGTTTGCAAGGAGAATATTCTTGTTGAACAGAGCGTTACTGCCTGTTTTCACGGCGGAGGTGAATCTCTAAACGCGTTTTTACAATGATGGTCTAAACACATGATGCATACCCTCAGTGTACTTGAAGTGAGTTGTGGTCGGAAGGCATTTCGCGTCAGGTATATATTCAACACTCAGTTCGTACTCGCCCTGTTTTTCCTCAGGGGAGTGCGGCAAGCGTCCTGGTCGGGGACGTGCTTCAGTTGGTTCTTCGAGGGGCGCATGACAGCATCCCCAACGTGCGGTTTACGGCTGTACGCGCTCTTCAAGAGATGGCACCACACCTTGACGCTGGGGCTGTGGACTCGCAGGTGAACGATTAGTTGAGCCATCAAGTGTGTACTGGCGATGGTAGCTTGTTGCGTCGTTGGCATCCAAACAATGCACCCGTCCACCACAGTAAACTGATGTGCTGCGGCAGAGCTCTCTAATCCCTATACTGCAACTGTGAAATCTCGGGCTCTTGCCGTTGCTATTCAATATACCTCGGGCCCCGCCACAGTTTCAACAAATGTTTGACGGCTCGTGTGCCTTGCCGAAGGGTATATATACATCGGTCGTGCTACATATATGTTTTTGGACTTGCTGGGGTGAGAGTGGGCGTCGACAACATCACATGCGTGACCCTTGAGTGCCCAGCAATGCCGTGTTGGACATGGTAGACCCTGTTGTGGCGTTTATTCATGGTATCATATGGTTGCACCCCAGAATTCTAGTTGTCCCGATTCCCATTTCCTTCTACCATGATCTCGGGTGCTATGCATGTGAAATAATCAAAAATAAATGTAGCACTGTAGCTTCCTATTGCGAGCCTCGCCGATTGATAGACTGATGCTACGGCGGAGTAAAGCAAGAGAGTTGTGGCTCAGCCAAAGCTGATACCCAACCTTCTCATGGTCGCATGCGAGCCGCCGGTCTACATACTCTCAAGGTCCACCAATTGTTGAAAGTTGTGTCAGCGGCAGTCGAGTCGCAGCTGTCGTCACGAAGTCTCTCCTATTTTGTGATTCTGGCACTCTCCGCGCAACGAGACGGTGTACCAGTTGATTTTGTGCTTTCGTTGCTGTGTGTGTTTGCGGTTAGTAGCGTGGAGAGGAGCGGAGTAGGCTATTCAGTACCAAAAGGAAGGACTCTGTCAGCCCAGTTTTCGAAGCGCGTCAGACACAACGCCAGAACGCCACGGTGGTAGAGACGTGTGCCCCCCCTCCCTCCCCAGGTTGAGAGTTGGTTTGCCAACTGGTCAACCTTCAGCAGAGCAGCTTTAGGGTTAGCATGTTGTACGTGCATTCTTATTTGAGAATGAGCGTACGGAAGTTCTCGGGCGCCTCCGGACGTATGTGTTGCTGTGACTTACCCGCACCCGACTAAAGGCACTGACGGCGTAGACTTAATAGTGATTAGGAAGGGTGATGGGATATCCGCTCGCCCAGGCGGGGGTTCGACTGAATATTGTATTTGCATGGTTTAGGCTACGTTGTGTCATTGTGTCATTGACGGGACTGTAGCAGTTTTTCCTTTGTACTGTAGCAGGCCCGAGGTAACCCAGAGTTTGGATCCCGCATGTTGTCTCCTCCGGTGTCAAGGGGTGACGAGCGGCACATCGTTCGTCACAAGTAGTGCCGGATTCTGGACACGGCGGCCTGCGCGATGGGACTTTTTATTTTCTATCCATGTGCGGTGAACCGGAAAATGTGTGATGGGGATTGCTGCTGTACGATGTGACACAAAATATGGACTAGGCTTCCATTTCATTTCTTTCATGAATCTACGGTTCTCGCATGAATTGACTTCAGCTCGAGCTCCTTCGAGGGGTTGGTACCTTGTGTATCTATCCATCACCATGCCTCGTGCAGGCGTAAACGAGTAGTAAGTGTACAGGCTCGAATGCTCTGCTGGGCATTAACTCCATTTTTATCTTCCCTTCGCACGCGACTTCGATTTTGAACATGGCAGGTGCGCCCGTGCCTGACGGAGCTGATGCAATCTGATCCAGATGACGACGTGAAATTTTTTTCTGCACAGGCCTTGGAAAGCATTCGCTGATGGAAAGTTATATGTGTGCGAAGGCGAAAAGGGGCGTGATGCATCCAAACGCACGGCGGCAAGAGATTTCCCGTGTCGCTGGTTGGGTTGTAACGTTGTAACACTGTAATGGGTATCGCTTCTGAACTTCACGAGAGGCAAATGTTTTTGTTTGATTGTTCACAAAGGGCGGGCATATGGGGCAGAAGGGGTGGCAAATAGTAATTTGCGCAAGGTCAGCACGTGACCTGTCGAAATTGCCGTTTTGATCTTTCGGGGCAAGTACAAGGCGAGCACCAACGTATTTAGTGGCGAAATCGAGCCCGTAAATCGTTCACCAACAGTGAACGTAGGACGGTGTCCTTCCACCAGTTTCTTCTTACATGCGTTGCGGCAACTACGGTCTCGCGTGACCTAGCCGGCGTACACAAACGAGTCGCAAGCATCCGTGAATTCTTGGCCGTGTTGTTTCGTTGGAGCGGTTCTCTGCAACACCTCATCCATGCCGACGAGACTTCATCGCTTTGCGTTCCTACTCGACGATCTCGATCGCCGGCGCTTGCGTCGGCTAAATTCTGCTTTAGTGCCAAGCCGCAACTTATCTACCAACGCCGTACCTTCTTCGTCTAAGTCGACCAAGTTTCGGCGAACGGTGGGTTCCGAAGGAACACCACCAGCACCGTCCGCTGCAGCAACAGATAACTTCGAAGTAGTCGGCACACCGCTGCTACTCCCCGCCAAATGCTCGTCCCACTCGCCCACCCCCTCTCCAGAATCTGATAACAAATCGAGGTCGTCCCCCCCGCCGCTCGTCTTGTCCCTCCCCAGACCTGCGAGCGACTTGAAAACCGACCCCGCCTTTGCCTGCTGACCAAAGGCTCTGATATTGCCCGCCGTACTCGGACGACGAGACCCCGCATCCGCCATACTTGGACTTGGAGTGCGAGACCTCGCGTCAAGCTCCTCTCCCCGTGGCACTACTGTGTGACTTTTCTCCTCAGCACCACCCGACTCTGTCGGGCTACCGTTGGTGGTCAGACCACCTATTTCGTGTCGAGTCAAAAACGCCGCGGACACCCGGCCATACTTGCTTGGTGGGACCGCTAGGCTGGAAGGATCTCCGCCTCCAACTGGATCATCGTCATCGGCCGTTGGGTCGTTCGACATGAACTTATCATATGAGAACGCCGACGATTTCTGGTGTCCCAGCGAAGCACGGCGATCCCGTCCTTTCGAATCCCATGAGGTGGCGAAGCGGCTGCACAGGGATGAGGCGATCAGACCAAGAGGCTCCGGTGCGTAGACCCGGGCACATTCGCCTACCAGCGAAGATGTTGCCAGAACGTACCTTCCTATCGAACGTCTCGAAAGAGTTCTATAAACCCTCGACGGGGGGGAAAGGTTTTTCTGCTGCCCTCCCCGGGTACGCACCCCTGCTTCTGAAATGCCTCGGCCGCCATGCCCCCCCCCAACAAAATCTTCTGGGCTGCTGCCGGATGTTCCTCTTGCTCGGATCGCATTCAGATATTCTGGGGTCGGCGTCGTCAACACCGAGGCAGGAAGAAGGAAACCGAGGACGAGAAGGACTTCTGGGGCACTTCGTCCAAGCATTTTGAAATGATACGCAACAGATAGTGCGGTATGTTGGGTGTGTCACACTTCCGCCGTCTCTACCCTCTGCAGTCACTCTCGTAGCTTTTGGGCTGGTGGCAGCAACGCAGTGATGTTGACACAGTTCGCTGCTGCTGCTCACGATGTGATCGTGCGCCTGGCAAGCTTTAAAGTTCGGTTCGGAGACGGGTGCACGAATTGATTCACGGTGCCGCTTTAAGCTTGCTGTGGCGCAGCTGTGTCCCGTGCGCTCTTCACTTTCCAGTTTGTTCTGCGGTGGGGGCTGCAGCACCATCGGCTAGATGGGTGATTCCCCTCTATCTGCTGACGCTGGTCTTGCAATGGAGGACTTCGTCGAAGGTGTAGAGCATCGTAGTCTCCATCGCCGGCTTGCGACACTCGAGGCGCTGGCTGCGTGGTTGAGTCCCCACCAGCCTTGTGAGGCTGTCTCCAAGCCGCAGGCAAGAGTGCTGGTGCGACTGCTGGTAAGCGCCCTGTGCAGCGCACAATATTTGGAGCGCTCGTGGATTGTTGGCCTGCACAAGACGATATCAAGAGCAGCAAGGTCGGAAAGGTGCCCGACATTCACGCCAATGTGTGTCGCGAGCCTGGCTGGTGAGAGTGGATTGAGTTTTAAAAAGTCGAGGAAATACTGCTGGCTGTGTTCCCCATGTGTACTGGTGTCTGCAGTCTGCATGCACTGCTGGCATGCAAGTTGGGGATTTGTTTGGCACTGAACTACATGTAATAACTGCACTCACAGAACGACTACCCGTTCGAGATATTCCCACAGTCGAACAGGATGTGGTGAAGTGAGATGCCAATCGTTAGTTTGTGCGTGAATCATCACGAAGATATCTACGCAATGTAGAACACAGGTCCCCGTGTGCGTTCTTCTCTGCACACTGGCCTGCAGGTGCTGCCCCTTCGGCATCAGACGGCAACTCCCAGCTGGCAATCCTGCGCGTCGCATGTGTCCTTGTCGAAGCAGCAGCACCTGCTGACGCTGAAGAGGGGGTGCCAGAGTGGGTTCGGAAACTCATTGCAGCGCAGGCTTCCGTTCATGAGAGGGTGGGTGCGAATGGCGACGAAGACAACAGTGCGAAGGCCGAGGTGCTGCTTCACAGATGCCTCAAGATGCGTCCTGGTTTACTCGACGTGTATCTCGACGTACTGACAGCCGAGGACAGAAGTAGTGACAGCCTCATGGTGCTATCAGCCATTGCTTCCTTTACAGTGGATCTTCCGGCATATGAGGGTGAGTTTGCTCGAGACGAATTGTGGTCTAAATATTATTCTTCATTTGGTGGTGCTTCCTGCTGAAACTGTCCACCCTCCCGTCCAGTAGTCGACCACGTTACACTCAAACTGTACTTCGCAGTGCATACCAGGATATCACAGCAGTTGTGGCGGCTACGATGTAAGGGACTCGATACAACAGAAAACATGGATACAGTAGTGGTCCCGATATACTGTGTTTGTGTGTGTGTTTTCGTCCTATTCATTATGGCGACAGTCCCCCCATTTTTCGTGGTGAGACGTGTACTACACTTTTCACCGTACAGTAGCGGCTACGGTTTAAGAGAGGGTCGGTACAAGCCAATTTCACTCTCTTAAATCCGGCTTTCTGTTATATCGTGTTGGCTACGGTATAAGAGAGAATTCTCTTAAACAGTATCTCACTATAAGAGAATATTCTCTTATATCGTAGACAAAACTTAAGGTCGTGAAACAGGGACTCTCGCGCACTGACTACACTCGAATGCCAAAATAGGTCATGAAGAGAGCGTATCATGCATGTCACTTGCGCAGCTAGCGTTACCACGTCGGGCTACCTCCAAACACCGCTCATTCTCTTGGTTGGCAAGCACGTGGACCCAAGTACTGCTGTACGTGGTACGCTTTTGGTGGATCTGCGTTCGGAAAATAAATCATCGTTGTGTGATGCGATGCACATTTTGCACGTGGACACGTAAAAGGTTTTTGGTTGAGTTGTTTTATAGCTGTGTTTCATAGTCGCACCTCTTCTAGAAGGACAACACGAGGCAACGAATGCACCAGCACTCAAGAACGACGCACCCGTTTACACAATGCACCCCTTCCTCCCACCGTACCCTCAACATAACACCCTCATACCTCTCATCCCATCGATTTAAACCCCCGACAATAACACAAGTCAACGAATGAAAAAGAGCTTCACAATATCAAAACATCACTCGCCGTACAAATAACACAAACCCAAGAAACCAACGGGAGGACAGGCAGTTGTGGCAGATGCGATGCATCTCGGAGGTGCCCTGAGGGTCCACCACACCACAGGTGTCATGGAGGTACTGCCCGCAGACTCCTCTACATTGGTGATTTGCGAACGCCGGCGGGCCTGGCGTGTGATCGGGGACAGCCGTGCAGCGACTGCCCGTCGCGCAGGGCATGGTGTCTGCAGCTGTGTGGGTGTGTGATGTGTGTGTGTGTCCACGTGGTTTCCATATTGTTCGATTTAAGAGAAAAATCCCAGCTGCAATTGGAAATTTCTCTTGAATCGATTTTGATTGGTATAAGCCAATTCCTCTCCCTTAAATCCGTACTTTCTCTTAAATAAGTTCTCTTAAACCGTTGCAGCTACTGTATGTAAAGTACTACACCTTTCAGTGTATTTTGTTGTACAACTACAACTATCCAGGGTCACATAGGAGGGGGTAAACACCAGGGCTTTTTTCTTCTTTTTATTTCTTTTCATGCCCCACCTTCCCCCTGCGGTGCGTGCTGAATTTTTATTTTTATCGCGAGAAGGATCCAGCCGTCCCTTTCCCTCGTCAACGGTGCTACCGTCGAAGTTTGGTACTAACGAGAGCTTTTTAGCTATATTTCGCTTCCACCCGCAAATTTCGTAATTTTTTCACCCCATGGGGATTCGAACTCACGACCTCTGCGACTAGCGGATTACGAGGATAACGAGACCACCGGGGCGATCCTGTAGTGGCACCCTGAATAGTGAAATGCCCGATTGTAGTGGCATCAAAATCTCTTTCAACAATCTCAACCCGATCAAGGAGTGGCATTTTACAACTTTTGAAGACAGGGCCCTCAATAGCAGCATTTTGGGCGTCTTACACCCCCAATGTGCATAGCAGCAATTCAAACCGTCGGTGCCCCCCAATACTTCACCATGCCCACCACCACAGACACACACAGCACTGGGCGCCTCACGGCCAGGCCGGGCGTTTCGTCGTGTGGCATTGGCGAGGCCGGGCATTCCTCCGTGGGGCAAAGATGGCATTCTTCGCAGGACATGCCGCTAGATCGATACGGTCGATGGACATCAGAGCGTTTATTACCCGATTTCCCGGTCATATTGTCGTGACGGCTGTGGGTGCAAATTATGGTGACGGTTGGTATTGTGCTCCGGAGCGGAGAGTGTACGACGTTTACAGCTTGGTTGCTTGAGTTGGTTTCGCATACACTGCTGTGTTCAACTCATGTCAACTTGTGTGTTGTGCTTGTATTGCGACACCCCATTATGGCCCGCCGGCAAATAACAGATTGTGTGACGTGGCTGCCATTCGTTTGGACATTGTTTCTGGAGTCCGCCTGCACACAAAGGTAGGTTGCGACTGCAGAAGGGCCAGTTGTCATTTGGACGATCAAGAGACTGTACCAACACTGGCCCCTACCAGTAACCCTATCTCCATACAGTGTATGTGAGTGTAGATCCAATGAAAAACTGTCGGTAGCGTAAACATCTCGAGCTTAATTTCCTCAAAAGTGGCCATAACATGACTACTACCATTCGCCACTCAATAGTGTTGTTGCCGCTATATCGATTAGTGACACTGCCCTGAATGGTGGCATATTCTGCTCTTGCCCCTATATGCCACTATATCGGGACCATCACTGAAAAAGAGTCAATATTATTGTCACGGCCATGATCAAGCCGGGTATTAGATAGGGGGTAATGAGCCACGGGTGACGATGCTGTGCAAGGTGTGAGGCATGCTGCTTCAAGGCAGCAATGCAGCAACCCAGCACGCGAATCCATTACTTGCGGATTATATATTCGAACGGATCTTCCAAGATCTTGTACCCGCTCCCGCTGGAAGTTCGTTGAAAATTCTACACATCAACGGCGGAAGAACACACACAGCATTCTGGCGTCCGCTTCAACAGCAGCGCCGCCAAACGATCGGCACCTAACAGCAGTACTGACACAGACACAATGCACAGTGGTAGCTTACACGAATGCATTGAAGTGCTGCTGCTGTAATGGCAATGACTCATCTATCTTACTTACTCGACAGTGCATAAAATAATAAACCCTGGCGCCTGGCACCAAAGAGGCTCGACTTGTGTTTTTTTTTTGCTTTTGGCATAGTTGTGTTACCTGGTGACCCCTCTCTACGCACCGAAGCACCAACAGTAAGAAAGGTAATCCGCCACGAGCTGTGTCCACTCTACGTCTTGTGGGGTGGTTAACATCATCTAGAAGGCTGTAGTACGCTTTTTTGAATTGTGGGCGCAAGAGTCTGGCACAGCCTGCAAAGAAGCCCGCCGCGTCTGTCTGCTGGGATCCGTTTGTACTTCCTTCC